CCCCACCCGTGCACCAGGCCTCTATCCTATATAGTAAAAGGGTAATATGCAAACTGACCCTAACAGCAGAAAGACTGGGAATGACTGGTCACTATGACACACACTGACCACCAGGGGGCAGACGCTCAATGCAGGAGCTGCCCCCTGGTGGTCTGTGAGCTCCCACATGGGGGAGCTCTGCTCAGCCACAAGGCAGGCTGATGGCTGCCAGTACAGCAGTGGTGGTGGGAGCCTCTCCTGTCTCCTCAGCAGCACTAAGGATGTCTGACTGCAGCTTAGGTCTGCTCCCCGCTGACAAGTGGACATCCCCCGAGGGCTGACGGACTGCCAGAGGAATGTCTGATTGCCAGCTTAGGCCCAAAACCCGGGGGAGCAGGCCTAAGCCAGCATGTGGTCATCCCCCGAAGGGTCCCAGAATGTGAGAGGGCACAGGTGGGGCTGAGGGACCCCTCCCCCCCCGAGTGCACAAATTTTTGTGCACCGGGCCTCTAGTCTATATATATAAAAGCCTAAGCGACTGAACCACTAGTCAACCAATCGCTATGACACACATGACCAGCAGGGGGCAGACGCTCAATGTAGGAGTTGCCCCCTGGTGGTCAGTGTGCTCCCATAGCAGAAGCACTGCTCAGCTGACTGACAGGAGCCAGACGCCAGGCTCACAGCTGGCAAGAGCAGCTGTGGTGGCGCAAGCCTCTCCTGCCTCCACAGCAGCGCTAATGAGCTGCGGCGGTGGCAGGCACAGTGGGGCAGGGATGAGCAGGAGCAGCGCAGCACCTGACCCGGGCTGGACTCCTCCCCAACCACCTGTGCTTCGTGCACTACTACATCCCTCTGGGGATGTTGGATTGCCAGTTTCCGCCCGATCCCCACAGGGGATCCAGCAGTCCGACATCCCCCAAGGGGTCCTGGATTATGAGAGGGCGCAGGCCAGGCTGAGGGACCCCACCAGTGCATGTGCACCGGGCCTCTAGTATATAAACAACTCCTACAGCCCTGGCCAGGTAGCTCAATTGGTTGGAGCATCATTCCATACAAAAAAAGGCTGTGGGTTTGATTCCTAGTCAAGGCACATACCTAGGTTGAAGGTTCAATCACCTATCAGGGCATGTGCGGATGGCAACTGATGGATGTTTCTCTTTCACATTGGTCTCTCCTCTCTCCTGTCTCTCTCTCTCTCTCTCTCTCTCTCTCTCTCTCTCTCTCTCTCTCTTTCTCTCCACCCCCCCCCCAAATGAATGGAAACATGTCCTTAGTGAGAATTATAAATAATAACTCCTACAACTCAACAACAAGAAACCCAATTCAAAATGGATTTGAATAGATATTTCCACAATAATGATATACAAATGGACAATAAGCACATGATAAGATGCTTGACATTTCTAGCCATTAGGAAAATATAAGCCAAAACAACAGGAGATACCACTATGCCCATTAGAATGGCTACTATTAAAAACAGAAAGAACAAGTGTTGGCAAGGATGTGGAGAAATTGGAACTCTTGTGTGTAACTATGAGAATCTAAAATGTGCAGCTGCTGTGAAAAACAGTATGTTGGTTCCTCAAAAACTTAAATACAGAATTACCATATGATCCTGCAATTCCACTGCTAGGTACATACTCAGAAGAAGTCAAAGAAAGGACTCAATATGATACTCCTACATAAGTGTTCACTGCAGCATTATTCACAACTAGAAGCCCAGTGCACGAAATTCATGCACATTAAAAGGGAATTAATTGCCCTAACCAGTTTGGCTCAGTGGATAGAGCATCGGCCTGCAGACTAAAGGGTTGCAGGTTCGATTCTGGTCAAGGGCATATGCTTGGGTTGCGGGCTTGACCCCAGTAGGGGACTTGCAGGAGGCAGCCTATCAATGATTCTCTCTCATCATTGATGTTTCTATCTATCTATCTCTCTTCCTTCCTCTCTAAAATCAATAAAAGTATATTTAAAAAATAATAAAAAAAAATAAAATCTCTGAACAAAAATTTACCTAACTTTTTTAATTGGCAATAGGAAGCATAAGTCAGTCCAAATGCAGAGAATAAGAAAGTGTTAAGATATTATGGTGCAGAAACAATTCAGTAGCTGATTATATATGGCCTTCAAGCATTCTCAGGCATTGCACTCTTTCTAATTGCTAAAGCAAACCATTGGATACTTTTGTATGAGAAATGAGGTGCTCTGAATTATAATTCAGATTACTCAACAAAATTCTACTTAGAATCAGGAATTTTGTGGGAAGTTAAGAATGTAACAACATATGACTTGGACCCTCTCATCAAGTAGTTGAGCCTATTGTTCTTTTAATCTCAAGTAGACCAGTGAAACTAAGGACCATACATGATACTCCACCACTGTATTTAGCTTGCCAGACAGGATCTTAGAGTCATGATCTTTAAGAGTAATGTGTTTTAGACTGCTCAATAGCAATATTTTCCATCTATTACTACCTCTATTGCCATTCAAAGTATAATTAAAGTGTTATTTTTTATTTTTGAGTAAGATAAATTCTAATTTTTCTATTTTACTATTCAAGTTTAAAAACAGCTGTTTCCTTTAAGAAAAAACTAGAGGTATTTGCTAATGGTCTGGATAGATTTTAGTGTAGGTGAATTCTGATGCGTCTACTTAAATGCTATTTTTAGTTTTAAAAATATTTACAAACAACTATCATTTTGCATAAAAGTCTCAGCAAGAAAAGACAAAGAAAGCAAATACTGTATTAGTATGCTTCCTTTTTTGGTTTTTAGTTTTATGCAAAAAATTCGCTTCACTACAAGAATTTAGAATCTTCTGCAAAATACTGATATAATTCAAATTATGTTACTGCCTGTGTTTGTGTTTTGATAATCAAGGAAGAGATTGAAAAACATGCAGAAAAACTGCTTAAAGATAATAACTGGATGTTTTCCCTGAAGCCACAGAATAACTAATATAGTGGATGAATAAGTGATATTTATCATTTTCTTTTATTTGTAATTTGCAATAAATTAAGCAGAATGTTTATGGAGCTTCAAAGGTAGCAGGTATATGGTTTAAGAAAATAATGTTAAATTTAGTTTTTCTTTCTTTCTCATCATCACATATCATTAGAAGTCTGAATAATAATTTAGTATCCAGCAATAACTCTTTCCAAAATATATATTTATTTTCTAGGGATTAAACAAAAACAAGGGACGCACACCATACATTTCTAAAACTGTTATGCTGAAAGACATGAAGCTGTCAACAATACCAATAGGTTAAATTTAACATGCTAACTTTGACTATAAATTTGAATATAAATACTTGAGTACTACAGTGGTCATTCGAATGTGCTTTTCAGTATTTCAACTACATAGAACCTAATTGACCAAGGGCCGCATCTGCTGAGCTCTGAGATCCATTGCTGCGTATGCACTGTGACCACTCCCCATGAGCATCTCCCAGCCAGGCACTGACCCCTCAGTGATGCAAAGACAGGCCGCTCTTTGGTACACATGATATTTTCTGAAGGCAGACTTTGAATCAAGGATTCCCTAAAAATTCTGCCAAATCCTTCCCAACCTACACAGAACTAGAGGCCTTCCACCTACCTTCCTGCCTTCAGGCTCACACGTGCATTGCAGTGTGGGGGCCCCCCAGCCTCCCCCAGTTTCCTCCTTACTTTCTCTCCCAAGCATTTCTCTTCATAAAATCCTTGCAAGTTTAATCCTATCTTTGTGTCTATAGAGAAAAGCATGTAGACAAACTGGGACACTGAGAGGCAGAGCCTCTGGGGACGGAACTGAGAACAGCCATAACTGCTCGCTCCGCCCGCCCTGTAGATCCCCGGCGACCCGCCCCGCCCAAGCCCTGCACTGAGGCATTTGGGGGGTAGCCTCAGGCAAAGGCTAGATTAGCACCTCCCTAGAGGACAGAAGTTCTCCCACTGCAGACACAGCTGATTCTCACAGCCAGTTGGCCTGGAGGTCAAATCTCTCCCAGTGATACCTACAACAATCAAGGCTTAGCTACAACAAG